GCCCACTGATGAAACAGTGGCACAAAAATCATGGGGTAACCAAACACTTCACTGTTGGACTTAAGGCCTGCTCCTCAGGAGAGAATTCGTGCCTGTACTATAAACTGGTTAAAAGCCCGTGGCCAAGGAGGTCACAGGCCCTAAGAGATCCTGCTACTGCTGTCTTGCTAGATGAACGTGTCAAATTGCCTTCTAATTATTTATGTTTCTACACATTAGTGGCCAGAGGAGCTGCTTTCCGCAGTGGCCAACAACTAATGAAGGGACTCACACTAGCCGTAACGCTGAGAATACCTGACTACTGAGTGCTCAGCCACGAATGGGATGTCTGTGTCAATCCCTGTTTGCTCACGGCTCAGGGAAACACGGAAGAGGGGCAGAAAGGATGCGTGACCTGGAGGGTGGGGACGGGTGCCTCGAAGCCCTGTTTTCTGGACAAGACAGAGTCATTGTACTCACGCACTCACTGAAGCTCACCTGCTCAAATCCTGCACAAGAGCAGGCCCAAAAGATCAGCCAGCATCCCAACAGGCAGCACTAATTGACTCAGTAGGTCACTATTTTGTCTTTTTTCCCCCCAGAGCTGAGGACCGAAGCCAGGGCCTTGTCCTTGCTAGACAAGCGCTCTAACACCGGCTAAATCCCCAACCTGATTCATTAGCTTGCAAAAACAAAACCCGAGAGGACATGAAGGGAGGGGGGGTATGTTGGGCATGTGGGGACGGACAATTGGAGGTGTGTATGATCAAGGTACATGAAATAAAAGAAAAAAAAAAGATCTGTGGGGAAAATTTTTTTTTCTTCTGAGACAGGGTCTCATTTAGCCTAAGCTGGCTCAAACTTGCTAAGTAACCCAGGATGACCTTGACTTCTGGTTCTCTGGCCTCTACCTCCCTATCGCCAGAATTTCAGGCATGCACTACTAGACACTGGGGCTGAACCAGGGCCTGTTCATGCTAGAGCTATGTCCTCAAACCTGAGCCTTTAGAACCAGGGTCTAGCTGTAGAGCCCTGGCTGAAAATACTCTACGTAGCCCAGGCTGGCCTCAAACTCACAGAGATCTACCTGTCTTTGCCTCCTGAGTGCTGGGATTAAAGGTGTGCGCCACCATAACCTGCCTAAAATCTTTTTTATAATATATTCATTTTTATTCATGTGCCTGTTTTGTCCATCGGTATGTCTACGCACCGTGTACACACAGAGCCTGTGGAGTCCAGAAGAGGGCGTTGGGTCCCCTGGAGGTAACAGATGTTCGTGAGTGGCCGTGTGGATGCGGGGAACCACTCAGCAATTGTCCTTAACCACTGAGCCATCTAGCCTACTCCCAAACTTGGAATCTTTCAGCCTCATCTTCCTCAGCAGCTGTGCACCACCATATGCGGCTTGATTTACTATTTGTTTTTATTTATTATTTTTGAAGTTATGGGAATCCAATCCATGGTCTCACTCATGCTACGACCCTATATCTTCAACTGTTTTTGTGTTTTTCTTTTTGTTTTTTCAGGTTGTTTTTTTTGTTTTGTTTTTTGACAGGTTTCTCTGTGTATTAGGCTTGGCTGTCCTGGAACTCACTTTGTAGACCAGGCTGTCTTGAATTCACAGAATGCCTCTGCCTCCAGAATGCTAGGATTAAAGGCGTGGGCCACCACTGCCTGGCTTTTTTTGTATTTTTCATTCTGAGACAAGGTCTCACTAAGTTGCCCAGGTTAGCTTTGAACTGACTATGTAGTCCAGGCAGGTATTGAACTTTCAACTGCCCCTGGAGTAGCTGAAATTAGTCATAGACCAGCAGGTCTGATTAGCATTTGTTCTTCACAATTAGTCAGAGGATGGGGAATCTGAGGTTCAGAGAGGTTAGGGACTCTGTACTGGCTGGTATTGTATGCTAGAGTCAGAGAGGAAGGAGCCTAAGTTGAGGAAATGCCTCCTGTGAGATCCAGCTGTAAGGCATTTTCTCAATTAGTGATCAATGGAGGAGGGCCCAGCCCATGGTGAATAGCGACATTTCTAGGCTGTTGGCCCCAGGTTCTATAAGAAAGCAGGCTGAGCAAGCCATAGGAAGCAAGCCGGTAAGTAGCACTCCTGCATGGGTTCTGCATCAGCCCCTGCCCCAGGTTGCAGCCCTGCTTGAGTTCCTGTTCTGACTTCCTTCAGTGATGAACAGCAATGTGGAAGTGTAACCCTTTCCTCTCCAACTTGCTTTCTGGTCGTGGTGTTTTGTTGCAGCAATGGAAACCCTAGAACAGACCCCTCCCCCTAGAGTTACAGCTGCTAGGTGGCAGGGCTGGACTTGAACTGACTTGATCTGAGTCCCCTGTGCTGGTGTGGGAGCTGGAGGGAAGAGACTTGCCACCCTCAGCCCAGCCTACAGCATCCAAGTTCTACAGTTAGTGAGTCCATCTGGGGCAGCTTCCCCACGACTGCTGGCAGGACAGACAGATGCAGAGCCAAGCCTGCAGGAGGTGCTTTAGGAAGCGGAATAGGGGCTGCTGAGTTTGAGGTGTCAAAGATGAGATTGGAAGGACATTAGTGTAGCACCTGTGAAGAGGAGGACCACTTGGGAAGAAACCTTGGCATGGGGTAAGTTCATTATGGAACCCTTGGGGCCCAGGCATTAGGCTTCAGGTTTCTGCTGCCCCATGGGGCAGAAGTGGCAGGAGCTTCATAAACACTAAGCCCAGGATGAGTTAGGACAGCTACCTTTGGGAAGGCTCGTGTGGCAAGAGAACTCAGGAAGATCCAGAGATGCTGAGCCCTGCAGCCCAAGTCCTGGTCTTGACTCCAGCATCCCGACAATAGCAAACACAGGGAGGTGGCTTGGAGTGGCCGAGCCATTACCCCAGACACAAGGTTTGGTTGCTTAGGTAATGAGTGGAGGGTCTGCTCATGGCCTGGGAGAATGGAGAACCCCATGGTCTCCCCAGCCCCAGGGCACCCCTATCATGAAGCAAGCTTCTGCCTCCCTCAGTGCTTCTCACTCTTTTCACTCAGGTCTCCAACAGAGGGTACAGGACCATCTGTTTTCAGCCAAGAAAAGCTAGAGGCCAGGATGCAGCTCAGTCAGCAGTGTTTGCCTAACATGCACCAAGTCCCAGGTTCCATCCTCAGCAATGAATGAACCAGGCTTGGTGGCACAAACCTGTAATTCCAGAAATTGAGAGGTGAAGGCAGGAACATCAGAATTTTGAGGCCAGCATGGGCAGTATCACAAAAATAAAATAAAATAAAAAAGGAAAAAAAAAGATAAAGCCAACTGCAGCGGTGCTCCTTTAATACAGTGAGTTCCAGGGCAGCTAGAGGTACAGAGACCCTGTCTCATAAAAAGGTGGTAGGGAAATAAATAAGACAGACAGACAGAAAGGAAAAGGAAAAACAAGAAGTGAGCTAGTCCCAGCAGCTGGCGTCCCGATTGAGGACGCAGTGCCCTTGGAGACTGGTTTGACTCAGAGATGTGATATAAGGAACTAGTTGGGCAGAAAACAGGCCTTCTACTCTTGGTCCCACCAGACCCTTAGCTCTGCCCCACCACCCACTCCATGAGGGCAATAGGGAGCATCCAGAAGGCTTGAACCCCTTCTGAGGTCCTCATCCTCACCACAGACCAAGGCCAGGCTGTCCCTTTCAGGATAGAGATCCACTGTCCCCCACTTTGGAGGCAGGGGTGGTTACTGATAGCTGTAGCCCTCTGGGGGCTAGGTGTACGGGATCTGGGAGATGCAGAACACAGTGTCAAGTGGGCATCACAAGAACTGGCCAGCGAGGTCTGTGGTCAAGTCCAGGTGACTCAAGGGTGCAGCCGAGGGGCTCGGAGCAAACCTTTGTGGTACCGAATTGTGGAGGGCAGCTCTGTTCACTGTCCAGCCCCCATCTCACTTGCATGCTGCAGGGATGACGGTGCCCAGGCCCAAAGGCTCATCAGTGGGTTGTCTCTGAAGTAAATGGTGGTGGGGGGGAAGCACAGGGTCAGTCTGAACCCTATGGGACCTAGCTCCTCTTTAACTCAGGTGGCATTAGACAGACTATGGACCCCTGCCCAGAGATTTCTGGAGCTGGGGCCAGAGAGGGGTGTCTACTGGCACAGTGGTTCTAAAACCTCATTATACTTCAACCTCCAGCACTCATATCCATCAGTCAGAACGCCAGGTGGGTCTCCATCTCAGCCGCCGGTGGGGGGATCAAAGTGCTGAGGTCTAAAAGGTGGAGGTCAGAATCTCCTAGATGCTGGCGGTGTGGATTCCTGAGATGCAGGCCTGCAGAGCAGTGCTTCTCATTACCTTCTAAGGTACAGAAGACTTAGAGCAGGCCTGCACATGCCCACAATTCCAGCACTCATAGGCAAGAGAATTCAAGGTCTACGGGGTTGAATTTCTTGTTAACACACATGAACAGGCATGAGAACAAAATGCACATAAAAGGTACAATGTGCTTACTGGGGTCACAGCAGGGAAGGTGACCCTGGCCAAAGTAGTTTGTGAGGCTTTTTTTTTTTTTTTTTTTTGAGACAGGGTCTCTCTGTGTAGCCCTGGCTGCCCTGGAACTCTGTAGACTAGGCTGGCCTCCAATTCAAGAGATTCACCTGCCTCTGCAGGAGTGCTGGGACTAAAGGCGTGCACCCTCACTATCCAGCAATCTGTGAGGCTTTTAAGCAAGCCAACACAAAGTTCCCACCCCAATGATCAGCAAGGCTCACAAGGGGGTCCATATACAGACAGGGATGGTAGCAGGTAGCAGACAGGATGCTCAATTTCCCTGACCACTGAGCACCTCTGGTTAGTTCAGGCTCAGCAGAGCAGAGCCTCTGCACTGGTTCACCATGGGCAGTCTTCTGCACCCCCTGCTCAGAAGGCTGAGTCCAAGTGTGGGCCTCTCCCATAGCACCCAGAGAACAGCTATTTCCCAGACTCAGGAAGCTGCCATTTTGGGCTGAGGGAAGCAGGAGCGAGTCTACCGGTTGGGAGAGGCTGGTGGGGGCTGACTGAGGAGACACTGAAACACCGAGGCTGCTGCCACCGCCAGCTGGTGCAAGTTTTATTGAGACAATGTACAAACAGGCCATGGAAACAAGGGCTTTGATGCTGGGACCAGTAACGTAAAATGGAATACAAAAATAAAAAGGCACTAATCTGTTAAGAAAAGACACTCAATGTATTCTAAGAATATAAGTCATTTAATACTGTTAATTTTATAGCACAAAATAAAACAAGCTATGATCCCCAAAAATAATTTTAAAAGCTTACACAGAAAATATTATTGCCTGACACTTATGATCTTTAAGTTATACACGTCAAAAGAGTTTTATGTCGTTTTAAAACACACAGTGAAGACCGTCTAGAAGCAAGGCCACTGTTCCTCCTGTCTCAGAGAACTGTCCTCCTGCTCTTCTAGAATATACAAGCAGCTCAGTGTCCACGCTCACAGCAGTTACCAGGGATGTGGTTCTCTGGTCCCATGGTGAGGAGTCCACAGAAAGCATTAGTCTTAGGTACTGTGTTAAAACAATCAAGAATCCACTCATTTTAAGATGTTAATGAACATAATATTAAAAGATTAAATTATAAACACCTGGAACAAAAACACATCATCCCTTTAAAAAAAAAAAAGCTCATTATTCTTCTGAGCAAAAGTTCCAAGAGCAGTGGCCATCAGTCTTGGCCCATCTTGTCTGTAAACAGCTGTAGAGGAAGGCTGGCACAGTGCCAGGAACCTGCAACTCCAAGGGAGGGCACAGAGTCTCTGCCGGAGAGCACAGGGTTCTGAGTCTGGATGACCTGCAACAGGTGTGTCAGAGCAGCGCAGGGGTGACAGGCGCCTTCAGCACGGGAGGTCCTGCCTGGGAAACGGACTCTAACCTAGCGGTCTATGCCCTGACTACCTGACTGAGTCCTTCTCAGCACAACAGCCACAGTGAGTGGGTTGTCATCCCAGCACTTTCTACAACACAGCAGAGCAGACCATGGGACAATGCCGGCCACGGAAGGAGAGCCACCCCTGGATCACATTCCCACAAGAGTGGGACCTAGGCAAGATGCCACTTTCTATCAGTGTGAAAAGGAAAATTTTCCTGATTAAGAAACTGATGAGCTTTTAAGTCAGGAAAGGAAATTACTACTTTCGGCACATATCCTGAGAGTTCAGAACTTAAGTCTTTATTTCCAGCTCTGGATTTCAGAGAGCTGTAGAAACAACTACATGGGCCAAATTAACTGATTTCATAAACCAAACCCCAGGCTTATGGGACATTCTGATCCTGAATCTACATGGAGTCTTGCTGGTCAACAGACTTGAGGAGGGAAATCCTGTTCTCAAAAATGGCTGCCTGCACTAAGCATGCTGCTATCATCAAAAGGCACCAAGCCCTTCAGTTAAACGTAGTTTTTAAAAGACCTTAAAAGCTGGGTGTGGTGACTCAAATTTCAGCCGAGGCTGGGATGAAAAAGTCAAAGCCCGCATGGGCATTTTATGGAGATCCCATCTCAAAATTTAAGAAAGAGCTCAGTGGTAGAGGGCTTCTCTAGCATGTGTAAGGCAAGAGGTTCAAGCCCCAGTAATGATTCCTCAGGGGTTGTCCTCTGTGAACAAGGCATGTATTCAGCACAGGTATCAAAAGGCCTAGGGCTGAACTGGGTCACTAGCCAGAAGGCAAGTATTGTTGTAGGCAGAGTTTGGGGCCCACTCAACAGATCTGGCTAAAAAACGGTAGCTTTCAGAGATGGAAAAAGTTGACCTTTACCACTTTTTTCTGGAAAGCCACAGACAGGGAGACATGATAATACCCCAAAGCCCAAATGACCATTTTGTCACATGAACATTCTTAAATATGGCACTTTCTCAGCCTGATTTAAAGAGAAGCTGGTGGGGCTCAAGGATTGGCTCAGCAGCTAAGAGCACTTGCTGCGCTTACAGAGGACCCAGGTTCGACTCTTAGCACCCACACAGTAACTCCAGTTCCAGAGGATCCAACCCTCTCTTCCTGCCTCCTTAAGACACCGCACCCATGTGATGCACATTCATACATGCAGGCAAAACACCCACACACCTTTACAGGGGGTGTTTCTGAAACAGTCTCTCTTTGTAGGCCTGGTTGTCCTGTAACACACTACACAGACCAGGCTAGCCTTGAACTCAGGCTAGCCTTGAACTCTGAGATCTGCTTGCCTCTGCCTTTCTGAGCGCTGGGATTAAAGGTGTGTGCCACCATGCCCAATATACACAAAATTAAAAAAAAAGTCTTGAAGAGAAATAAATATAGTGGACAAATGCTTGTGTTAGTTTTTGTCTGCTGAGTGTATTCATTAGTTCTCACAGCCTAAGAGCCTCCAGAGCCAGGGCCACAGTTACAGCTGTCTGTAAACGATGGAGCTGCTCACTAAGTCACTGCTACATTTCTCGGTCTGCTTGGAGTTCTGTGTGGAGGCGTGTCCTCATCAGGGTCCAGCTGAAACAGAGCATACTACAGAAAGGTTCTAGAACTCAGGGTTGCCACGTGCAGATGAGGGGCCCACACATTTGTACCAGCTGGCTTGCATGTTGTTGGCTCATGGTATATGGGTTAAGGGTTCCAGAGGCTGCATTTTCTTGGTTTAGGAGCACTGTGTTCTGTTCCACTTAGGCTGTGGAACCAGACAGGACTACCACTTTCAAGCTGCCTGGACAGGCTGGGTCTGGACAGGAAGAGCTGACAGGACTCTGTGATGACTCACTTGAGTTCTTAAAGGGGGTGTACTTACTCAAACGCGAGACAGAACTGACCAAGCGCTCCACCCTTTCTGCTTCTGTCGGTAGCAACAGTGACAGACAGCCACAGGGTCCCCAGACCACCAGTAGTTCACCCTGGTGCTTCCAGGCTGCACCCAGCACGGCACACCATGACCGCTGTGTGTGTGCAATGTTTGCCACACGGCACACAAGGTATCGTGGCAACCAAAAGATAAAGGCCTCTACTTCAGGGTGTCTTTTTCATATTCTTTAGTTACGTACAGCAGCTTCAGTTTGGAAGCTCAGGGACACAAATTGTTCCTTAGACTATCACAAAAATCCAACCTACTATTTAAAAATCTGTTCAGAACACACAACTCTAATGAATTAGTCTTCCAAAACCAAAACTAAACAAAAGAAAGTGGAAACAAGCCAGACTGCAGGAGTTTGGACAGAACTGTCTGGAGTTTACTTCCTCTGTCGTCCAAAGAAAAACAAGTCGGTAGCAAAGCCACTGCTCTGTGGACCAGCAACAGCAAGAGCTTGCCGAGGCTAGCCCTCTCCATGTGGACCGTCAGCAGGCTCACACAAGAGTCCGTCTCCAATACAAACGAGGCAGTGATGAGAAGGAAGACCCTTCTGTGCTCAGTTCTACTGTGTGCTTCCACCAGGGTTCCAGTTTACAATCCAGAAGAAGGCTAAGACCGCTACTCTTTGACAGCATGACTATGATACAAATGCCAAGAGGCAGCTGCTGGAGGCATTCCAAATGTGCAGGAGACCCAGTGGATGGAAAGCCGGCCACCAGCAGCTCAGTGTGACTTGCATGTGAGAGTGCCTCCCACTTCAACGGAGACTACGACAGGCACAACAAGGCAGCAGCAGGGGCGGCAACAGCAATCACTCGTTGTCATCGGGGTTTTGAGGGTCAAAGATTTTAACATGTGTGAAAGGGAAAAGCCCTTTGCGCCCATTCACCTCGCCTTCCCACTGGCCATTTATATTCATCCTTGTGACTTTCACAATGTCACCAACCTGTAGGGATAAAGAAGACAAAATCAGCATCACTGTGCAAACAACAAAAAGACAGTTTACGTTAAATCACAAATAGTATCTACCCAAAGACTAAGACTAACCTTTACTTCTTCAGTGTTTGGACCTGAAAAATCAAGTACTACAAAGACACAGGACACCACCAGCGCACCCAGGACACCTCTCAGGTGGCAAGCATTTGTGAAGCAGCTTCTGAGCACGAAGCACCGTCACCCCAGTGGTTACTCGTAAATGGACACACATGGACATGGTAAGCTGCACAGAGGGGTGGAAAGCAGCCAGGCCTGGCACTCAGTCCCAGCACACAGCCTGGGCTCACTGAGACGCTGTCTCAAAGTAAGAAACCACATTGCTGTGACGGTGTCTTTATCAAAGACTGGAATGATACAGAGATGATCAGCATGGACTCCGCACAAGCAATAACACACATCTGTGAAGTATTTCATACTAAAAGACCACCACCACCACCACCACCACCACCACCACCACCACCACCACCACCACCACCACCACCAAACAAACCAGGGCTAGCGAGATGGTTTAGTGGGCAAAGGCACCAAAGAACTTGCCATGCAAACATAAGGCTCTGAGTTTCATCCCCAGAATACATGAAAAAAGGCTAACCACGGTGGCATGGAGCTGTAAATAGAGCTGGCAGAGCAGAGAAAGGTAAATCCCTGGCAGTCTAGTTCCAGGGTCACCGAGAAACCCTGTCTCAAAATACAAGGTGGACAGTGCATAGAGAACAGCACCTGATGTTGACCTCTGACCTCCTAATACACAAAACACAATGACAAAAGTTAAGTGTGCATGAGGGAAGGGAGGAAGAAAGGAGGGAATCCGCTCACTTCAATTCACAGGGGTGGAAATTCTATCAGCAACATCACCTCACTCACCATGGTCCCTAAGCATCCATGACACCACCCTGAGCTGTCCCTGACTTTCTATGGGACAGTCACTGTAGGGTGGGGTGCAGGTGGGGGACAGGGTCTTACTACATTCATAACTCAGGCTGGCCTGCCTTCAGTCCCAAGTGCTGAGCTTACAGGTGTAAATCACAACACGAGGCTTAGCTCTGAGCTTCTGCAATCCAGAGCACAAGCCAGAGACAGCTCTGAGGACAAAGGCACCTATCACCAAGCCTGACCCATGAGTTCAGTTCCAGGACTTAGGTGATGCAAGGAGAAAACTGACTCCTGTATGTTGTCCTGCTGTGGGATGGTCTGTATGTCAAATGTGTTGCTGATTGGTCAATGAATAAATCACTGATTGGCAGTGGCTAGGCAGGAAGTATAGGCGGGACTAACAGAGAGGAGAATTGAGAGAACAGGAAGCTGGGTGGGGGAGACACTGCCAGCCGCCATCAGGATAAGGAAGATGTAAAGTACCGGTAAGCCACAAGCCACGTGGCAAGGTATAGATTAATAGAAATGGATTAATTTAAGCTGTAAGAACAGTTAGCAAGAAGCCTGCCACAGCCATACAGTTTGTAACCAATATAAGTCTCTGTGTTTACTTGATCGGGTTTAAGCGGCTTGGGACTGGCGGGTGAGAGAGATTTGTCCTGACTGTGGGCCAGGCAGGAAAACTCTAGCAACATTGTCCTGACCGCTACACACCACCCTGACATGAGCGCGCGCGCACACACGCGCGCGCGCGCGCACACACACACACACACACACACACACACTCCAAATGCAATTAAACACAAACAAAAATGCAGGCTGCAGAACTCCATCTACTGCTGGAGGACAGGCACCCAGAGTTCAGAGATTAGTTTGCTCACCTAGTAAAAGCTGGGAATTTTATCGTCAAAGAGTTCTTTGCCAGGCGGTGATGACGCACACCTTTAATCCCAGTACTCGGGAGGCAGAGGCAGGTGGATCTCTGAGTTCGAGGTACAGAGTGAGCAGCCCAAAAATAAGTATAGATAGATAAACAAAACAAAACAAAACAGGTTTTCAAAGCATTTTGGGGACCCAGAGAGCTCTGGGGAGGTCCTTTCAGGGCCCAACAAATGTCTGATCAGGATTTTCAAAATTGTACTTATATACTCATCACAAAAAGTATATCCAAAGCTGTGGTCCCACTGACATACTTCCATGTTCTGACAATCTGCTTCTGGTGCTCTTTAGGAGGCTGGCTTAAAAGACAGACAATCCACTACGGCTTGCAACAAAATAAAGCTAGAAACCACGGGACACTGAGCTGGTGCAAGAGTGCGTGTTGCCGAGAGTGCATGTTGTTCGTGCTGCTCCCAATCTCTTCTGCCCATTGTAATTTCTATAAAGACAGGGTCTAAGACTACGTCTCACTGGGTCTGCAAAGACAGCTCAGCCATTAACCAAACTTGCTTTTCCAGAGGACCCAGGCTCAATTCCCAGCACCACAGGGTAGCTCACAACTGTCTGTAACTCCACTTTGCAAGGTGGTGCTTACCTCTGGCACCAGACATGCAGGTGGTACACAGATACACATGTAGACAAAACATTCATACCCATAAAACTAAAAGAAATGTTTGTTGCATGTATATACTTGTGTGTATTGTGTGCACATATGTATGAGTGTGGGTGGAGGGCTTATGTGTGGAACGGGCAGTTTTAGGAGTCAGTTCTTTCCACCAATTGGGTCCTAGTGATAACTCAGGTCCCCAGGCTGGGCAGCAAGTACCTCTATGCACTGAGCCACGGGGTAAATTTGGTAAAAGCCAAAATTTTCAACTTAGTCAGTAACAGAGTCCTATCAAAGTTGATAAAGGGGAGCCAGGGGTAGGAGTACAACGCTTGTCTAGCAGTCTGAGTCCCAGTGTTTGAGTCTCAGCAAAGGGTAGGGGAGGAGACAACGCACAGGAAAAATGCCACTTCAGAGTTACATGTCATGGTGTATGTGTCTGTAATCAGCACTTGGAAGGTGAAGAAAGGAGGACCAGGAATTCAGGGTTAGCCTTGGCTCCATCAAGTTCTGTCTCAAAAAGTCAAAACCAACTAACCAACCAAGCAACTCCCTTAAAAGCAAATAGAATGATGGATGAAGAAGACCTGAAGACAGTGTCTAAACAAATCATTCTAACGGATACAGCAGGTTAAAGACAACAGGAAGACGAGAACAGAGGATGCAAGTGAACGCACTGAAAAGCATTCACTTCCCACCAGGACTCTTTCTACCCACTCGATTTAAGGCAGTCTCTCACTTTTAAGCAACTTCCCTATCTTTGCTGCAGTTAAACAGTACACATTCAGCAGTCCCGATTTGGCCAATGCCTGTTGAATATGTCAGATAACAATATAACAACAGGGGCTGGAGAGATGGCTCAGAGGGTTAGGAGCACTGGCTGCTCTTCCAGAGGCCCTGAGTTCAATTCCCGGCAACCATATGGAGGCTCACAACCATCTGTAATGAGATCTGATGCCCTCTTCTGGCCTGCAGGTAGACAGAATATTGCATACATAAGTAAATAAATATTAAAAAACCAACCTAACAACAGTTCACACACACACACACACACACACACACACACACACACACACACACACACACACAAAGTACTGAGTCAACAACACAGAACGAAAACAAGCCACTGCTTCTGCTGAAGGAGTGTGGACCTACTCAGACGGTCAGCGCAGGCTAGACGGAGTCTGGGAGCAGCACCGACCTCGTCCTTCCTGTGACTACAAGCAGCGCCATCCGCCCTGCCAAGCAGGCACTCTATTACAGAGCTAGAGACACATCACCCTTACTGTACTAATATTAATTTTTATTGTTTTAATTGTGTGTATATGTGGGTGTGTGCATGTGAATATGGGTGCTTACAGAGCTCGCTCAGGGGTGTCAGATCCTCCTGGAGATGACAAGCACCTGACATGGGGTCCTCTACAAAAGCAGTAAGCACTCTTAACCACAAAGACTTGAATAGATACTACTCCACAGAAAATACAAAGAGTCAGTATGTAATGAAAATATGCTCAGTAAGGAAAATATCAAAGCCACGAGGGGCTAGCAAGTGACTTGGTGGGTAAGGTACTGCCGGTGCAAGCCTGGGGGCCTGATTCAACCTTCAGAACCCACGAAAAGGTAGAAGGAGAGAACTGACTCTACAAAGTTGTCCCGACTGCCACAAGTACATGGTGGCATGTATGTGCCTACCATTCATCACGCACGCACATACCGACCACAATAAAGCCAGGTATGGTGGTCTTCGAGCACTACCCCAGCACACAGGAGGCCAAGGTAGAAGGATAGTCCAGTCTAATGTCAGCCTGGGCTATGAATGAATGTGAGACTACCTTTAAAAAAAAAGAAGTCTCAGGGCTCTGCTGTAAGACTGTAAGACCGTCTGAAAATTACCAAATCAATTTCAGAGTATTCTCATCCTATTTATATACTAAGAAAAACCACCTCCCCCTTTTGGCATATATGTCAAGGTACATGTGTGTTACACGTATATACGCATGGAGGCCTGAGGCCAACCTTGGGTGTCATTCCTCAGGAGCCATCTACTTTCATTTTTGGGATGGTGTTTCTCCTTGGGACCTAAGGTCACCAATGAGGCTAGGCCAGCTGGTAGGTGAGCCACGGGTACCAAGTATTTCCTTCTCCCTAGCACTGTGATTATAAATGTATGCACCATTCCCGGCTGTTCCCATGGGCTCTGAGGAGCAAACCCAAGTCCTCATGCTAGTGTGGCAAGTGCTTTATGGATGAGCTATCTCCCTAGGCAAACAAAGTCCTCTGAAGAACAGTGCATTCTGATTTATAAGCAATGACACTATGATTTGCCAAAAGAAAAAATGTTTTTATAAAAAATGTGAGAAGCAGAGGCAGGCAGATCTCTAAGAATTCCAGGCTAACCAGGGCTGCATGGTGAGCCCCTGTTGAGAACCTGGGACAGCAAGATGGCTCAGCAGATAAAGGTGCTTGCCTGACAGTTGAGCCCCATCCCCAGGACCCACTTGGTATAAGGAAGAACACGGACTCCCTCAAGT